ACACGGGTTAAAGTTGCGTATTGGATCGCATATTGTCCTCCCCTGCAGATTTATACTTTTCTGACCAGTTTTCAACATTGCTATGTTTTTGCACCAATTTCAACTGATATTTCTTGATGGTAGAGGATGAACTAGCTCTTGTATAAAACATGAAAGCTGCAATCCTTTGAGTTAGCATTTCAATGCACGAAGAATTATCTAATTTGGAGTTCTGTAAATTGACAAATGAGCAAAATACCCTTGATTGGTCAAAACCCTGTTTCAGCTTTTGATAACAAAAATGGCCGACTGTATTTCGACTTTTTGACTAGGTAAACTCATGAACTAGATTTCAATATCTTCATAAGAAATGTAGAGCTATGTCTTATTTCAAAATGGCTCAAGAATCACTTCAATTTGATACTTTTACTTCAAGATATAGCCGAAATACCAAAATGTGTTAAAGCTGTCAAACATATCTTTTTTTTATACTTGATTGCATTTCATCTTTTCAATATTTTGCACTTCATATTTTCTTTAAATCACTTCAAATCATCAACAATCATCCAAATGTCTTCTTAAATCACTCTATTTGATGATTGAATTATTAAAACCTACAAAAACACGAAGTTTTCAACACTTTAATCCATAGAAATGCAAATTTTTTCATACTTTGCACTACAAAATGCATAATTCACTAGAAATCTAGTTAATTAGCTATAAAAATGAATAAAATACACCAAAACTAAATAATAAAACACATTTAAACACTCAAAGTGCACACTTATCAAAAAGAGTGGGGAAATAGACCTACGATCGAGTTCTATATTTATCGACTAAAGTGTTAGCAGGTGTATTAAGTTTTAAGAGCCCATATTTCCATGATAAGTTATTTAAACCAATGTTGATGATTTAAGTGTATATTGAATAAAATATTGGTGTCCTTATGTTATTGAATAAATTACAAACTTTAAATTCTAATAACTTTTGCAAGTTATGATCAAGATGCCTTGCATTTATAGAAATAAGGTCTCACAAAAACAACTTATCATGTCCTAAATTTGAAAAAGTATGTTACTTAGTTAGGCACTTGAATCATTGGTTGAGTAGTTTGTCGATATTGCTTGAGAACAAGCAATAATTTTAGTGTGACGGAGTTGATAAAGACTAATTTTGTGATCTTTTTGCTAATGTTTCATATTCTTTTGGAGTCAATTTGCGAAGTTAAATGCTATAAACTGCTCATTTTGTTCTCTAATTTGTACCTTGAGTTGATAGATGAATTTGTTATGATTTTGTCATTTTACTTGCAAAATCTCTTTGTTTTTGTAGGAAAATGATCAAGTTTAATTGGACGTGAAATAATGAACTAACAAAGTGAGGATTAGAAGCTTGAGAAGTCATAACAATGTTTAAAGAAGAGGTGGTGCAACTCAAAGATGAAAAATGGAAAGTTAAAAAAAGAAGAAAAAGAAGAAGAAACCCTTGAGGGTTTCTTAGCGGCGGATTCTACAAGGGATTATGGACAGAATGTTCACTTTGAGGAGAATAGCAAAGAATCACATGCCCTGCATGATTCCTGAAGAATCCTTCCATGGTTTCTCAAAAACTCTTGTGGGATTGGTGACAGCCACAAGTTGTCAACTTGCTTGACTTTTTGTTTCTTCTACTCTCTTGATGGGACATAAAGGGATGAAATGCAGCTGTATTGAGAGGTTCTAGGAGCTTCTCTTTTTGACCTTTTGGCTCCAAAATTGCAAGACCAAGAATATATAGTACCTAATTCTTCTAGTTTTGGGAAGTTTTGAGTTTTTCCTTAGTTTTAGTTAGTTTAAGAGAAGTAAGAGAGTTTGGAGGAGAAAAAAACAACCAAAGGATTGTGTCTTGCCCTTGGAGGCATGACACAAGCCCTCAACAAATGTAAGTCTCATTATTTCTTCTTGTTTTAGTGCATGTTAGTGTAGTGTTGTGTTTATCCATTCTTGTATTGCTTAACAAGAAGACCAGGGCAGATGATGACAGAGAAGTTCAAGAAGCTCTAGTGACAAGGATTCTCTTCTCTCCACCACTTTATCTTTGTATTGAACTCTAAATTTGTTAATGCAAGATTTGGATTTTTTTTTGTGATGTTGATTTAAAATTTATGCTTTGGGTATTTGGTTGGACTTTCTATGATTGTTTGGGGTTGATTTCTTAACTAATTGATGCTATGATTTTGATTGAGTTATTTAGCACTTTTGCTCTTATAATCATAAGTAGCTAGCCATTGATTGTGATCATCTCAAGGCATTAGATTTGCAATGATAATTGGAATTTGACACTAGTTCATAGAAGTATTAACTATGGAGTACTCTCACAAAAGTACCATTGTAGCTTTTGTAGCGTTGTTCCATATAATTTCATAGAAGTAAATGAGTTTATAGTTGATTTCACAACAATGAAAGTAGGTATGGATTAACTATAGGTATAGTTGGTATACCGACAAAAGCAAGTATCGCGAATATTAGCCATAATTTAGTTGAGGTTTTGGTACTCATTTAGTTAGGAAATTACACTATCATGAGTAGACAGAGATTCCATTACCCGGAGAGCTTTCATTTGCATTTTTCTATCCATTTGCAGCTTAGTTTTATTTGTTTTAATCTGTTGATAATCTAAATAATAGAGAATTTTAATAGTTCTGGTAATTATTCATCTTTCCTGTGGGTTCGACTCTTAGTATCTTATACTCGCTCACAACCCGAATACTTGCAAAAAATCGTGTGTGGGATATTAGAAGTTTATAAATGTAAAACTTGACTATAAATTGAATTTAATTGTTATATGCATTCCTCGCGTTCATCAAGAACCCTATAACTCTGGGCTAAAATACAAGTGTATATGTCTCATACATTTAAGTCATGCATATCCCAAAAGGCAATGCCACAACCATATCTCACGTTCCATAGTGTCACGGTACTCCGCATTTTGATTTTTTTTTGTTTTTTTTTTGGGTAGAAATCATCCATATAATATTAATATAAACTCCTCCTATTACCCAATGTTATTAAAGTCGGACCAAATAGCGACTCGGCTAAACTACTGGGTCAAGGGTCAATTGGTTGGATCGGTCGAACCATTCTCAAAAATTCACTGACGTCGAAATGATGTCATAATTATTTTATATTTTTATAAGTTTCAGAAATATTGAAATTAAGTTCTTGGTTATATTTGGCTAACCATAGAAAATGTAAATTTTCGACATACACCTAATAATTATATATAAAAATATAAGTTCATGGCTAAAATATGTCTATTCTCTAAAACTACTTGAAAAACTAAATTAAAACAAATCAATGCAAGTTAAAATCACTGATACTAAATTGATAAGATCATAGGGATCAAATATCTTGATTTAGAGATTATTCAAGAAAGCGAGTGATTTTGATATTTACATTAAGTAAGTGGGTTTACTTATTCTTATTAATAAATGAAAGTGTTATAATTTAGGTAAATTAAATTATGTTTGGGAAAAAAAAAAAAGTTTGAGAACCCGGGTCAACTAGTCGAATCAGTTCACTAGTTTAGCTTGTTTTTGACGGTTTTGAATGGATTTTAACCAAAGCGATTTTTTGTTACAAATCAATTTGAGAAGAAGGCCAATTCACGATCGAACTGATCGAATCGGCCGGTCCGATACAGGTCTAACAGCACTGCTATTACCACTTTGGGTTATCACCCTAGTATGAATATCTTGAAGAAGACAAAATACACGATACATAAGTGTTGCATAGTTAAGATCCGTCGTGATTTGGCTTATAGATAGCAACTTATTTGAAATAGAAGGAATTAATAAAGTATTAAGTATGAAGAGAGACAAGATTAAAAAACAGTCCCAACTTTTGTACTGGAAATGTGACACTATGAGCATTAGAGATTATCGGCCATTTGGGCTAAAAAATAATTAGGAAATCATTTGGATCAAAGATTATGCGATCAGTAGTCTCTGAGTCAATAATCCACTCACTCACATTGGTTTGCATTACAGTTACCTTGAGAAATACAAGCAAAACACTCTAGAGCAATATTGGGCATGGGAGAGAGTACGTATTTGACCAATATCGGCTGTTGAAATTGTTGCTTTTCAAGAGTTCCCAATATGATCGGTAGCGTTGGACCGATCAACTTAATGATTCAGTTGCAATATGTCACTCCGAATTTTGTCTAAACAGCATCCAGTTCATGAAGGAAGATTTATGCCCTTTCTTCCTATATAATATAGTTATATCTCTAAATATCGACAACATCACACTTCGTTGGATTAGGTTAATGGAAGTCAATTCTCCACAAGTCCTAAAGGTAATTGTACTATTTTTCAATTAGCACTCCGGCTTTTCTTATTCAAGTCACTTTTCTTCGAAGTTCATAAACTCGAGAGGTATTGCTCTTATCAAAATAGGTCATAGTAGCCGCATCGTATTTGGACAATGTTTTCGATCAAGGATAGATCCATAGAAATGATTAGCCTTCCTTTCACAATCAAATCTTCAGTTCTCCAATGTAGAAAAGTTGAATCCATTATTGAAGGTTGTGGAAGCTCTCCATTAATGTATCCCACCTCATTTTTGCCTGAGATATGGATCTCAACAACTTGAGACCATAAATTGTACTTGATTTATCCAACCTAATGCTAATATATGCCATAAAGGAGTTATATTATGGTGTAGTCTCCTTGTCAAGATTTCCGCCATTCATGCAATCAAGCCTTTTAAGATGGAGTTAGTTCTACTGCAATCCATCATTTTAGATGATTCCGCTGTGGTTTCAAGCGTATGTTTAAAATAGAGTAGTATTTTGAGCAAAGATTTAGGATGCCTACTCTGTCGCCATGTAAAACAAGAAGGAAAAGATTTGGGAAAATATCTGTATATTTCTCAAGAATTTACAATGACACAGCAAAAGTTACATTGAATCTAGACACTATATATTTGAATTTTCGAAACTAATACAATTTAATCGAATTTGTCCTAATTGATCTTTAGTTTAAAATTCAAATAGAAATCAAACAATATCTACATTTAATTCATTCCAACACTGTCAGTTCATGATTCTCTACAATTAACTGCACCAGATTCTGTAAGAGGAAATCCACTACCCAGAGAATGCAACCAAAATGAAAACATTTAAAAGAAGTACATAGTGACAAAAAAATGGTGACCAAAATTTCCCTCCGCTACAGTATCCTAATTTGAAGAGTTCTTGGTTTATATAACTGAAAGAAGATAAATGATCACAATGTCAAATGTACCAGAGCAAGTTTCATCCCAAACTTAAAAATACAAGGAAACAAGATTTAGAGGTACAAAAGCTACCTGTCAAAGCTCCAGATTTGACCCAACATACCTAGCTGAAAGAAAAATACCTTTTCACCTTGTTTTTGCGGAACTAAATTGGCCAGGAGACCTATGGCTTTTATTTTCACCGCAATAAACTTGCTGAAAAGAACATTTAGCATTAACCAAAGATACTCAAAATGAAAATCACCCAATGAGGTAATAGCAACTGAAATTTGTTGGCCCCGAGCCAAGCAGAAGGTGTTCATGAGGCAGGAAGAAGAAGAAAGCATGGAGCTCTCCCACTTTACTCAAGCGAACAGAAGACAGAAATCTAGTGAGCATGAATACCTGCAAACAACATTCTTTCAGATTCGCACAAGTTGATGTAACAAGAAATAGTTTCATGATTGCTGTAACAAGAAATAGATTCAGGAATAGTAGTCAGAGTTGTTCTTTTTACTAACCTGTCAAACAAGAACCTGCATAGCATATTTTACTTGTCGATCAGTATTCTGGAGGATAGACACTGATCCTAATTGGGGTATTTTTCTTATCATTTAAATTTTGACGTTGAAGCATATCTGTCTGTAATTGCCTAATTCTCCTAGCTGATGAAATTGCTGAACCTGTGGTATGTTCTAGGTGAATAGCCTCGAGCTTCTTCATGTCTACAAAGTCAGGTGGGATTCGCAGAAGTTGTTTGCATTGCCTGAGGATAAGGCGTCTTAGCTCTGGGAAATCATTGGCTTGAGCCTCCCAACACTTCAAATCAGTAGCTCCAATGAACAAAACCTTTAGAGAGCGAAACCCCCCTTCTTCTGTCTGCCAATCCTCTCCCGTAAAAGCATTGTCCTTCAACTTGAGAACCTCCAGATACCGAAGCTTTCCAAGTATAGACATTTGATCCCAACCTAGGCTTGTGTTTTGCAAACTCAGCTTTGTTAGCCTTTTCGGGAATTTGTGTGGTTGAGGAAGGGCAAGCAGCTTGGAATTCACATCATCACCACACAACTTCAACCTTTCGAGGGAGTTTAGTTCGCAGAGATGGTCAAACAAATTAGACTCACCGTTGGCCTTCATAAGAGTGCCTAAATTCCCAGATATACCAAGCTTCTTGAGATTTGTAGCTCTTTTAAGCACTTCATCTGTAAGGCTTTCAGGTGAAACTATAGATAGAGTTTGTAGGTTTTCGCTGGTTGTGGATTGCTCCTGACATCTAGGCAAGGATGTGGAGGAATTAGTAATCAGATGCCTTAGCTTTGTCATTGCCCAAATGTCTGCTTGTATATCAAGGGTTGGGGACCCTGTGTGGACTATAAGAGTTTGCAAGTTAAGTAGCCTTGACATGGTCTTGGGAAGAATCTCGACCTCGCAGTTGATGGCAATGAACTTTAAGAGAACAAGGTCAGACAGTTTTCTGGGAAGACGTACAGTAGGCAGCTTGACAGATAAAATATCCAACACCCGCATTAGTTTGAAGCGCTTAAATACGTCATCTGGGCTGAGATTTGGATCCAGCTTAATTTCATCCTGGCCAAAGCTCAAGAATGAGCGTGCATTCTCAGCAGGCTGCTTTTTGCAAACGTATTGAGATAAGTGAGAGTTTTTGCAGGCAACGCGACGGGCAGAAGATGATGAACTGGTACCCACGTGAGTTTCTTGGAATAGACATTCTTCTTTGGCTATCTTCTTGCAAAAGTCACGCAGCGTGTCATGAATGCGACAAGTCTTAATCTGACCACTTAAAGTTCTCTGTTCCACCATCACTAGATTCCTGCCAACCAATTCCCTCAAACATGCCTCAGATATCTTCTCCATGCTTGCTTTCTCAGATTTGGGTATGAACCCTTCAGCGATCCACAGTTGCAACAATTTTGAGGCCTGGATCTCCAAGTCTTCAGGGAAGACACCAAGGTAGAGAAAACACGATTTGAGTATTGGATTCAAGTTATCATAACTCCGTCTTATCACGTCATCTATTATCTTTTGGCCATCACCCACTAACTCAGCTACACCATGAAGCACATCATCCCACCACTTTGGATCTCTTGGATGATTCCTAAGAATACCTGCTGTTACCACTATTGCTAGCGGTAGCCCTTTACATTTAGCCAGAATTTTCTGTTCAAGGGACAGCAGTTCCTTTGGACATTTGTTGTCCTTGAAAACCTTAGTCCTCAGCAATTCTTCAGCTTCATCTTCATTCATAAATCGCAACTTATAGGGTTCAGTCTTTGTTGTAACAGAGTTGGCCACAGGCTCGAGCCGGGTAGTTATCAGCACCCTACTGCCCTTGTTGTCTGGAAAAACTTTCTTGAGATCGTCCCATGCTTCGGTGGCCCAAACATCATCGATCACAATCAAATACTTTTTCTTCAAGGTCTCTTTGACCTTGTCTTCTAATTCTTTCATCGACAGGTTTTGATCCTTAATGTTCTTGGTGAAGGCACTTAGTATACTAAAAAGCACTTCTTGCTTGTTGTATACATTTGAAACAGGGACGAATATCCGAGTGAAAAAATGATACTCAATTCTTGGGTCATTCAAGACCTTTTTTGCAAGTGTCGTCTTTCCTAGTCCAAGCATTCCGTGAATTGCTACTACTTCTAGCTGCTTAGATTCACCATGTTGCTCTGCCTCGGACGGGGTCTGCTCCTCTGCCTCGGACTTGCCCAGAACAAGTTTTTGGCCGCCGAGCAGTTTCAACACTTCATCAGTTGCATCCATAAACCCAATGATTCTGTCAGCCCCTTCATTGTCTCCAATCTATTACAATGAAAATGAGGAGAGTCACTAGAAATTAAGCGTTAATAATAATATTATTATTATTAAATAACCTTCCCATCTCTCCCCACACAATTCCCACCTCCAACTTGTCAGATACACGATTTGAATCCGTAACCGGGAAGAATTTAAGAACCTTTATCTGGTCATTGGCCTGACTTCAGTGGTTAAAAGGCAAGGAAGTTCACAAGAAAAATTATTATTATTATTATTTTGTCTAGAGCATGAACTTGTCCAAATGAATTGGCAACTCATGAGCGTGAGAAATATATGCAATTGTAAATCTTGTAGTACCGGTCAAACGATTTTCATTTTAATAAGAAAAGAGTACTGGTAACCAATTTAAGTAGGGCAAAGTACCTGATTGTGTTCATCAATTGAATTATGTCTTGCCATCTCTTCCCTTTCCAAAGCAGGCACCCCAAAATCCTTGTTTTCTTTGTATGTCTGCTTCACCTTTGCGCTCAACTTTTCTACCGTCTCACCTATTTTCCGAAGGTTTTCTAGGTGGCTTTTGGCGCTTACTACTTGTCTGAGTGTATTCTTATTTTTGTAGAGTGTCTCCTCCACGATGTATGTTTCTAGGAGATCTTCAACCTCGAAAACCCGGCGTCTGATATCGTCCGCCAGCTCCATCAGGGTCCTTGAATTGTAGTGCTTTTCAGTGTAGTCAGCCATGAACGTCTTCAAGAGACGGAGGCCGTCCTGGAGATCGCTGATTTTTTCATGATTACCACCTATCAATGCACGGTTCTCATTGATCAACTGCACCAGATTTTGCAACACAAATCCTACTGCAACCTCTACAGCCTTTTCCATCTCTCACGCTCCGGTTTTGATTTCACTGTTGAAAGCTAGCTGGACAAAGCAAAAATTTTTTTTTTCTCTTTTGGCTCAATATGCGTATGGATCGAGTGCTCTGGGTGTCAAAGGTCCTTTTTTTTTTCCCAAGACGACAATCATAGTATATCCTAATCTATCCTATAGGGGAAGGGATGGACCTAAGGAGATTCAGGAATAATTCGAAAGGAACTAAATCACCATCGGACCAAACGGATGCACTACGCACCCGTCTAAATTTTTTTTAAGCAAATCTATATTTTAATATGATAATTTATGAAAGATAAGATTTTAAATCTTAAAGGCTTGACGGTGACCACCAACCAAAGGCCGGTGGTTCTCTGGGTGTTAAAGGTCGACTCGCATAAACACTACTCCTACTAGATTCAACTTCATGGATGAACATGTATGGTTGTGGCCCCTTGCAATTAAGTCATTTTCTAGCACAGCTACGACCACTACCTCCCATTACCTCATTAATTAATCAAACTGCCCTGCCCCAGTAGTAAACTAAGTGAGTATTAAACTAGCAATTTCATAGATGACTGGTCAGTCTTTTTTTTTTTTTTGGGTGAGCTCAACACTTTAAGCGTTAGGGAAAGAACAAAGGGAGAGTTGGTGAATCGAACGCCGACGTTCAAGTTCACCTGACTAATGTGCTTACTAGTTCAGTTGGGTAATAGGGATAATTGATCGAGTTTTAGTAATATGTGAGTAATTTTTTTTTTTTAGATGTACTGATGAAGTCACAGGACCAAGGACTCGGGGCAGGGACGGTTGCAGGTGCAACCGTCCCTGACAAATTTTCTCTTCATCAACAGCGCGTAACTTCTTTTGTTCACCGTGTAACTTTTTTTCCACAGGTTGTATTTTCACAACAGATAGTGATGGACCCCACACTTGGCGCGAAAATCGAGTTACCACTTGTTATCTGAGCCGCACATTTTTTTGAGATCCAATCTGGACCATGAACCGTGCAGGGACGGTCATACTGATGACCGTCCCTGCCCCAAATCCCAGGACCAACCATTCTGACAGTAATGTTCAGAAAACACTGGTAGCTGGAGGACACTTTTTTTTTTCCGTTGATTATGCTTTAAATTTGTCAATTTGGTTTTTGTTGACTTTCTTGACACTAAAAACCAAATACAAGGTGATTAAATTCCGTTCAGCCAACTAATAATTGCGCTTTGTTTATGTTCTTGTTAATGTATCATGATCATGCCTAGGTACCTAACGATGTGGTTCTAATTTTTTTTTTAACTTGTGAAAAATAGATGGAGAAACCAATCCTCTGATGACTGATGGGCATAAAACAACAAAAAGAAAAAGAAGAAAAAGCAAGTTGCATACTTTGCTCAGTGGGGCTCTATAAAAAATTGATTAATGCAAGTGGCAAATATAAAAATTAGGGCCAATTGCATTTGGCAGCCGCCAGGATCCGTTTCACACGGATGAATGGTTACTGCATAGGCCAATGAGATGCATAAAAAATGAGATTTTTTTATGAATTTTCTATTATATTTTTTAATTTTCTATTATATATTATTTTTTTGAAACTGTTATATTTATTTTTTACTCAATTAATAGTTATTGGATTTTAAGAAAACAAAAAAGAAATAAAACATGATGTTTATGAGGAGAAATAGCAATATAATAAAAAGTGGGATAGAAAGTGGCATAGAGTATGGGACAGAAGATCCGTTGCGCCAATGAGAGCATCACCACAGTCCGTGACCTCCCTCAAAGTTACTGCCTAGGGAAATGGTTACCGACAATTTCTAACTCATGTTTTTAAATTCTGATTGGACCAGCCGATCTGACTAGTTTAATAAAAACCGGTCAAGTATCCGGTCCAAGTCAATTTAAAAAACCTCATTTCAAAAACTCAGACCAAATTCGGTCAAAAATTGAGTTTGACCGGGAATAAGTGAAATAGGATAAAACCCAGTTTTTTCCATTTTTCATGTTTTGGTGACTTTTTTTCCGTTCTTCTCTTCCCTTCCTTTAATCTTTGGCTAGAGGCAATAAACTAATCTAAAATGATATTACAAACCCAAATTAGGAGAAATTTTCCATTACTTAAATTATTTAAACCCATTTCTCATGCAACTAAGCTGTAGAAAATTTGCAATCAAATAGGAGAAAGAAGGGGAAAAAAAAGAGCAAAAATGGGAATAGAAGAAAGAGCCTTTCATGTGAGTTTATTGTGTGATAAAAGAGAAGCGAGAGTTATGGTGTAGTTTAGAGGAAGAAAAATAAGACAGAGAAAAAAAAAAGGAAAAGAGAGCAGGTGACGGTTGCTGCTGCCTTGTCATCCAGATGCTCCTCTCCCTTATTCTTTGGCTATTCCTCCACGTGAGTTTGCTTCTCAAAAGCTATGAATCAAAATTAACTTATAAAAATCAAAAGGCTTTGTTAGGACTCGGGAGAACAATTCTTTGTTGGAAGAACAAGCAACTAAAGGATATATCATACTATAGTGACGGCACAACAAAGAAAACAGCAACTAGTAGTTAGGTTTAACATTTATTTGTTTTGAGTGCCCTAGAACTTTTTAATAATTGTGTTTCAGCCTTTTATAGTTTTATTAGAATGTAAAATTAACCCATCACATTTTCCAAATTACATTTTTACTTATGGCTTTTAAAACTATTTAAGTACAGTCCTTTTAGACTAAATCTAAACTCATCAAATAACTATGTAAAGTTGTAAACCATTAATTTAAGGGAAACTTTTATGTATTATTTTAATTATATATCATTAATATATATTTATGATGTCATTCCATTCAACCCCTGATTGAATTCGATCGAATTCATTGACCCTTGACCCCTGAATTTGGCTGAGTTGATACCCAGTCATAGTCGGAAAACATAGTTTCTAACTCCTCATTCTAACTTGGGTGCACGGGCAACTTGATTGTCTGGGAACAATCATCATATTCTCAACCATTTGGTCGTCACCTTCCTTTCCTTCTTAAATTTGTCCTCAAATCCCAAATTTATTAACTTCTCTAGGTGATTATGTCATTCATACAGAAAACTACACTCTTTAATCAGTTTAATGGTTGACTTATACATCTGCCCTTTTTTTTTTTGCTTTCTTCTGAAAATACTGTTCAAATATTTAGATATGTACTGCATATAGGAGTTTAAAGCAGCTATGATGATGATTAAAGTGATAATTGATTATGCTTTGCAGGTGGTGGTGGCTTGAGATTTAGATTTTTATAAACTAAATCGTGAACATGAGTAAAATGGATGCTAAAGCTCACTGGTCATCTATTATAATTTGTCATCAACGGAGTTGGGTTGGTTTCCTGTAGGTTGATTCAACAACTAAATATCAGTTGCCGCTGCCAACATCGAGCTGAGCTAAGTTGAGCTAGGAAACAAAAATGGGCACTACAACAAAAATGACCTTTCCTGACATGTCTATAAGGACATTTGCTGGTTTCTGCCATTATAGTAAACATATCATGACACTTATTAATAAATTCAATAATATGTACTATAATTTTTTTATTTTATCATGATATACAAATAATAATGTGCCTTTAGGCTACCTATGATGACACTCTGGAAACTGTGAGATGAACCAAAAAAAAAAAAACGAAAAAACACAGAAAACGACATCGTTTTATTTTGGCTCCAAAACACTTGCTGAAGTACTGTGAAGTTTCATTTTGCCGGCAAAAGGACTTGGTGAAAATTTTCTTCTTCTCATCTCTCTCACCTCTCAGCATACAAGCATTCTCGGCCAGTCCAGAATGTTGGTAGCAATCGAAGCTATCTCCGCAAACAACCATCTTCATCTTTTCTAACCTCAACTTTAAATCCCTCGGCTAAGACATCTGGAAGGGCAGGCAGGAAGTAAAAGCTGAAGAACGGAGCTCTACATTGGGAAAGCGGGAAGATACTTCAGGCGCGCATATCTTGTTCCAAAATTGAAGTGGTAAACACAATGAAGCTGTTGCCCATAACCTGTTCGATAAAATGTCAATTCCCCCCTGTTTTTCATTTTTTTCTGTGAATCTCTTTTAATGTTAATATATGAAACATAGTTGTAAAACTGTATTGTATTTTTTAGTCTTTTTTCTTTTTTTTCTTCCCCTATCCATTTTCTTGTTGAACTTCCACCCCTCCCAGTTCAGGATGACATAGCATTCATGATCTGCACTCGTGCAGTACATCCACCTGGTATCTAACTAAACACTCATGAATCTCAGTAGCCTTTGCCTGCCAAATCTTGTTCTTGTACTAAAATGGGACATCATATGTACTAATGGCAGCTGCCGGCTTACCTCTGTTGTTCATTGATGCTCCTAAACTGCATCGCCTCAACTTTTGGTACGCTTTGTTCCCTGGGGCTGCTGCATGCATTCTCTTATGTTTAATTGTAAGTTTCTTTCTTCCTATCATCCAAATGATTTTCTTTTCTGTGGTGTTCAAAGTGCATTAACGGTTTCTCTTAGCAGCCAATGTGCATTGCATATAGAAATCGATAGCTCCATTTTGCTACAAATAGCTTGAGCTTCTGCATTCCAGTAATGGCATAGCTCTGTTTCTTCCTGCTTCTCTCTTTACCTCCAGTAATGTTCATTGATGTTACCTGAAGGATAATTTCAAATTTTGATACGGGAAAGTCCTCAATCCAGAAGTCCTAAAAATTTTGCACTCCACTCAATAATCAAGAGGAAGAGCTGGGCAAAGTTTTCATGACTTCTATTTCTTGTATGTAGTCAGCTGATCAGGGAATGAATCAACAATGAGGAGAATGTTTAATTTCCTTTTCTGCTCCCACAGTTGACTTGATTTTTATGATTATGTGCATGAAATTGTACTCCTGGGACCAAAAAAAGATTATGAGTATAAAATAAAAAGCTAGATAGATTCTCTTCTTTCTTTCACATTTCACTACACACCAGAGATGTATCTATACTTTGATGGAAATTTAGTAAGATTCTTGAATTTCACCTTTAGTCTTCATGCTCATGTGTTTGTTTAACCTTTGACATTTCAGATTGAAGTTAGGAGTTTTGCGAAGACGCGAGTGCAGGAGTTGGTACGAAGGGCTTTGTTCTGGTATTAGGTAAATAAAATTTCTATCCGCTTGCTTGCAAATTCTGTTTTTACAGATTGTTGAGAA